AATTAGCATCACAATTTTGGGAGTAAACCAAGGACAATCTAATAGAAAGTGTGTATTTTACATTACTATAAGTTTAGCAATTATGGGAATTGTTTCAGGGTTTTATCTCCCAGCTATCACAATGTTCAGTATCTACTTAAAGATTCTGTTGGTGGCACAGAGACAGGCACACAGCATCCAGAACACAACCTGTCAGAGCACAAAGTCTGAAATTAAGAAAGAGAGAAAGGCCACCAAAACTCTGGCTATTGTAATGGGAGTTTTTCTTATCTGTTGGACTCCTTACTTTCTTTGTATGACCTTTAACCCTTTGAGTAATTACACGATACCTGTTTCTGTGATTGCAGCATTTAAGTGGCTTGGATGGTCAAATTCAATGCTCAATCCATTGATCTATGCTTTCTTTTACAGCTGGTTTCGATCAGCTTTCAGAATGATGATTTCCGGGAAAATATTTCAAGGTGATTTCACTCATTCTAAGCTCTTTTGACTCATTATTTGAAGTGTTAAAATGTTAGCGATATCATCATTATTGATTTTTATCTTTTCCACTGCATGTCATCTATATACATACAAATGTCACTGTACTATGCAATAGTATCTACCTGTACTACTCAGAGCACAGGTAGCAGTGCATATTCAACAGTACGTACAGGTGTATATGCAACTGTATGTACGGTAATTCCAATGTGAATGTCTGTAAATAAATGTAGGATCCACATATCTCACTGTTTGCCTCATTTATTGTATTCATTTATGGATGCTGCATCTGTATGTAGAATGCAGGAGTACATCAGTGAATTTCTGTCTTTGTGAGCAAAGCTTTAAACTGTAAGGAATTAATGAATGGTGAAATGCTCTTTCTGTTACACTGGTTTTGTTTTGGCTACAGGTGGCAATGGAATGAAGAAATAGATGGAACTTTCGTCATTGATATTGATAACTGATATTAAACAAATATCAGATAATATCTTAATATGTAATTTTAGCAGCAACGTATACATTGTCCAAAACATTGTGAAGATTACACTGAAAAGGGATAACCACTAGGTGTACAGCACAAAAATTGCAAAAAAGTGGTTGTTTGAGCAAAGATTTTAATAAATTAAAGCTGCAAGCAGCAATGAATGTCTGTGTTGGGGTGTGCAGTAATTGTCCTACGCACCAGCATATAATGCTTAAATCACGGCATGAAAATTTCATGTAAATCAGATTAAAATTACACAAGGCTTACTTCCTGTCTCAAGCACGAATGTGAGTGAATATTGGCATGTAGATGTGTTCAGGGTGGGACTTTTATCAAACATGCAAAGTTTGTTTGAGATTGAGCAAAGTACACTGAAGTTATGACAATTTCCTGCTTCATGGTGAAACATCAAAATTCAACGCCACACCATTCGACGGACAATAACAAATAGGACACTGTTCAATTTTAAAGTCAATCCGATCAATTCCCTAGGAGGAGTTCATTAACATACAATGCATGGAAATCGTCAAAAATGACCACAAATTGACAGCCCGACTTCCTGTTGGGTTTGGGGTATGTGTCCAAGAGGCTTTTTGCTTGTCTAGTCATGATAAACGTGTAACAATTTTCCTACATATCAGTCAAACATGTCTTGAGGGCTGAGGTTTAGGGGGCATGGCCAAGCCATTTTGCAACACCCACCATGACCAATAGTATACGTACGTTTTCATCACAAATTACTTTTGTGAAGTTTCATAAGTTTTGGAGCATGTTGCGCCCACCAGAAATGCAATTCATTGGTGACTAAAATAATAGCACACATTGGGCTGTGCTGCGGCCGTGTCATGCATCAGCGAACTGACATGATGATTGCCATATAAGGCTCACGTTTCCAGTTTCCAGTAGGTGGTGTTATATGTATGACTAAATATTGGCATTAAGATGTGTCAGGCTGGGATTCCTTTTAAACTGTGAATTTGGGGGCCAAATTAACAATCTACACTCAAGTTAGAACAACTTCCTGTGTCCTGGTGGTATATCACAATTCAACGCCACGCTATGGACACACCGTTAAACGAGTCCTAAGATTCATAACATATCATCATTAAATTCAATTCAATTTTATTCGTATAGCACCAATTCATAACA